AAACCTTGAGCTTCCATTGGGAAACTGAGTCCCTTCCGTTGTCCTTCTCATGTCTTTACCGACTCCATTTCCCTTTGCTTTCAGGGACGAACTTCCCCACCAGCCCCGAGCTCCGCTTGAGCTCGGCGCCCTTCCGTGTACTGTTGTTAAGACGTATCCGCCTGCCGCTCCCTCTGGACTCGGCCAGGTGCCGCTGCCGGGCGCGTCTCCACGTCTATGGCGCCCATCGAGCAGCTTGCCCTCGGGCTGGACTTTTGCGCCCCAGAGGCGTCGCCTCGGCCCACGCCGAAAGAAAAAAAAAAAAATCCATGCGTGATGCTGAGGTCTGCTTGGCCCGTTCCATTTCAGAATCATGTTGTGCCTCCACGGTTTTCGTTGCTGAGCGACGCCCTCGGCAGTTCCCGCTTGAGATAGTTGCTGTTGGCGGCAAATGCAACACACGGAGCAGGGTTTTCCAATCTGCTTCCCATCTCAAGGATTGTGTGGGAGACTTCCATCAAGTGCCCAGAGAACAGCTTCCTGCATATATGAACGCCTGACAAAACAGGGCCGCATGGGCTCATGCACTGTGCATCCATGGATTCATGTCCATGACTTGGGTTACAAACAACGCCGAACGTGAAAGTTTTGCAAACAGTATGAACGTCCAGCAAATCCCTTCTTTTTGCCGCAGAGGATCTGTTCACCGGAAAGGCGACATGGACACCGGAATCTCGAAAGCTACCCTGAGCTTGTCAATTCCGGACGCTGCCACTTGGCGGTGCTTGGCATCGTGGTTGGTGGCAGGTGGAGCATTGAAGCAGCCACTTTCGTCCGTCTGTTCGCACGGTGCCGTGCCCGCGCCGCACCAGCCCCCTCGCGGGCAGCATGCGTGCGCCTCTGCGTTCGCGTCGGGCCTGGCCTGCTTGGTCTGCCCCTCGCCGGCACGAGCAATGTCGATGGAGGTGCCCCGGCCGTCGGTGGTGCCCTTGCCGACTCCACCGAGGTAGTTTCCAACGTGCGCAGTGCAGGTGCGTGATCCCAGCGTCCCCAGCACTCTACGGACAGGTGTCTTCGTTGGCTTGAGTCCTGTTTGTGCATGCGCTGCGCGAACTTCAAACTGCAACCTATTCTGACCAGTAGTCTTGCGCACCAGATTCCGAAAACCCGTATCTTAAGAATCAGAGCGCGTGCGCACGCACAATGCTTGGCTGACCTGACGAGGGGCAGGGACATTGCCGTGTGAGCCATCGTGCTCCGTCCAGCGGTCACAGTGGCAGATGGGGTCTTCGAGGATGGGTTAGAAGCGTTGGAGGTTCCGCACTTGCTTACAGGTGTTCGCAGTATGCACATCCTCTGTGCTACTCGAGGGCCGCCGCTGAGATTTGATTGTCCAGAGAGCCGCCGAGCACGACGTGCTGCGTGCATCGCTGGGCTTCTCGGCCATGCGGACCACCCGCTGCCGGAGGGCGCGCTGCAGACAGCACAGCTTGCTGCACGCTTTGGCGGCCTCGGATTGCGTTCCGCACCTTCAGACCGCCACACAGCACACTGGGCATCCTGGTGCGACGCACTTCTTGTCATGCTGCTTGCACTGCAGGGGCTACTTCCGCGCGCAAGGCTACACAATACCTGACGGGGAGGAAGCCATGCGGCCTCCTGCTGATGCCCAGCCGCGAGGAACCATGTGACCACCTGCGTGGATGGCAGCGCTGTGCTGCCGCGCGCGTTTGAGACGCTTTTCTCGGGCCTTTCACCTGCCTCTCGAGCGCTGCTGCTGTCACAGGCTGGGCCGCATTCCTCGCGTGCCCTCGCGTGCCTACTCACAATGCGCATTTTCGTGTTCTCCTCCTTCGCCGGATGCGCCTGCCGTTCCCATTTGCACCGCGGCACTTGCCGCCGGGCACTTGATGTGCTTGGTGATCACCGAGCGGCGTGCGCGCCCCATCCCTCTTGAGCGGGTACTCGCCAGGGGATGCCGCGAGGCAGGCGCACGTGTGGCCATGAATGTGCGTTTGGCTGATGAGAATTTGGATGTGCCAGTGCGGACGCCCGGTGCATCGAGGTTGTCTGCAACGGGCTGCCCCTGTGACACGCCTCGCAGTTGATTTCGACATCATACGGCAACGGCTGCTGCCTAGCCATGGACTGACCGAGGGACACTCCTGCAGCCGGAAAAGGCGTGTTGGGAAAAAAAATCATGTGCTAAATGGAGGCCCACAACCACAAGAAACACTGGCAGGCGTACAAAGCAGGTTGATTGCCATCTCTGAATGGATACGAGCTCTTGGTAGGGGGTTTTGGATACTGACCAGGCAGACCTTTTTGAATTTTCTGCACTCGGAGGGAAAATGAAAAATTGGCGGGGTGTTTATTTCTGGAGTACTTCAGTTGTGCCACCGCGAAACAATCCAGAAGCCCAAGGGGGGATTGATGGACACACTTCAGGGTTCCAAAGCAGTATTCTTGCCGACTCTGTAGTTTGCCACGCTTCACTACTACTGAAGGGCATCCACGTAGTAGTCGGGCAGCGCCCCTGCAGCAGCATCACAAAACCATAATTTTCAATTAAAAGGGGATGTTATTTTTTCTCGGGATACAGGTTTCGTTCCAGATTTCAAGGACCCGGGACATGTAAAACATGCAGACGGGGCCATGCAACAGTGGGTTGGACGTTGGGTTGGAAAAGATCACTCGTGTGTCATGTTTTGGGCATTGGAAACGCCGGTGTGGAATTTCAAATCACTCGCATTACAGGAATTGTGTCCATTCGCGCTTGGATGGTGCTTGCTGCCACGAGCACGGTTTAAGTTTTGACCAAGTTTTAGAAGGGTTGAAGTGGTGGTCGTGCTTGTGGGAAATTTTGGGCGGGCAGGGGTGTTAGTGTAAGGTTGCAATCAAGGCGTGAAACTATCATGGTTCGGCAAAATGGTGGCCCACTTTGTACAGATATTTGTTTGCTGATGCTCCGCCGGTTGGTGTGCCATGCCGCTGGGGCACCAGCTCCACGTTGTGTACGCTCCGGTAAAATTCGTATGGCTCCAAAAAATCAACTCTGCAATCATTGCATTGTCGACTGAAAATTGTTGTAGAAAATGTAATTTTTTGATCCTGCTCCCTCCGCATTTTTTTTTCACACCGGGGTGATGTTAAAAAAACACCAAGCCGCCAAGCACACACTGGCACCTTCCAGCATGTGTCTGCATGTCAACGAAGCTCTTTTGGTGTATTTCGGTGTTTCGTGTCGTTTCGCACGTTCCCAGCCGGTGCCCAGCTCATTCTTGCCACGCAGTACCGGGGGCCAGCATGCAGCTTAGATCCAAAAAGGGAAATTCGTGTGCAGAATCATGGTGCGCAGGCATAATTACGTGGCTTGCGACATTTTGTAAGTAACCTTGAACATGATCCCATGTCGAGTGAACCACGTAAAATAAGTCAGAAACAAGCTGTTTGCGCAAAATTACATGTTCACAAACCTTTCGCGACAAAATGCGGCCATATGGTTCACAATGGTTCGTTCAGTCCAGCTTCCCTCCCTGGACTGTGTGGCATGGATCCAGCTTCATCATTGCATCGTTACTGCCGCGTTGCCGCTGGTGGCGCTCACAGCTTAGCTGTCACGGAGAGATGTGATGTGTTGGCCTGGGGCAGCAATTCACATGGCCAAGTTGGAAATGGTAGTTTGGAAGATGTGTTGAATCCAACGGTGGTGGTCGAGCCTGGACATGCGCGTTATGTGTTTGCTGGCAGGCATTTCTCACTAATGATCGACGTGGATGGTTGGCTGTGGGGCTGGGGTTGCAACGAGGACAATGTTCTCGGCATCCCAACCGCAATCGAGAAGCAACAAACTCCAGTCAAGCTGGACACAGGAGGTCGGAAAATCAAACATGCTTCAGGAGGTTGGAAGCACATATTGGCGGTCTGTGAAGACGGGCAGCTCTTGAGTTGGGGCGACAACGATTATGGGCAGCTAGGTGATGGCAGCACTCATAACAGACGTGAGCCAACAATCACTGTTCTTCCAAATGGGGCCAAGGCTGCAGCTGTGTCAGCTGGGTGGTACCACAGCCTGATATTGACAGATGCGGGCGAGGTGCTCGGTGCTGGCATGGGGTATGGAACCTCGTCTCCTGGAGAAGTGGCCGCGCAACCGCTTGTGCAGGTCATCCGTGCTGGTGTCAGCATGATTTCCGCAGGCAGCACCCACAATTTGGCAGTAACCAGAACAGGGACTGTTCTTGCATGGGGTGCCAATGATCATGGCCAGGTCGGCAATGGTTTGCTAGATTTCCAGGCTGCGCCAACTGCAGTCTGCACAAAACAAATGATCATTGCCGCTGGAGGTAGCCACAGTTTATGTGCAGATGATGAATACAATGTAAAAGCATGGGGCCATGGCGTGATGCCAGCGGATGACCGCTCCATGGATTGCCCCGCCAGATACAGTGTGCCAGAACCAACCGTTTTGGACGTAGCGGATGGTGCATTTTCAATTGCTGCCGGTGACTCTCACACAATTATCGTTGGCTCTTTGGGGCAGGTGGGCGTGTACGGTTCCAACATGTGCGGGCAAATCGGAAACAACTCTGCTGTTGATGTTGGCCGTTTGGTCGAAATCCTTCCAAGTGGCACCGTTGAAGTCATCAGTCAAGAGGCTCGCATGGCCGCTGCGATGAAAGGGCCAGCCGAGGAGTACATGCTGGACAACAAGCCAGGTGACAAAGAGGCGGAAACACAAGCGGTGCAGTTGGCTTTGGGTCCACGGAGTGGTGGGGCCCTTGCAACTGGAACAAGCGGAGGTGTTCCACCCGTTCTCAGGCAGTTGGCTGGCGTACCCTTGTCCAAGGATCTTGTTGCTCACAAACCCCGGCGGGTGACATGAAGCTGGGATGCTGTTTGAAAATTTGTTTCACGGTTTCACATCAACGCAGACGACTGCCGAGAATCAAAAAGCGCATGAACTCCGACTGCGTTGGGCTCACTGCAGGCGCTTGTTCCAAAGGAATTGTTTCTGACAGGCTGTTGCATGGCGGCCGGGGAGGAGACCCATCTCACAGCCTGGCTCGTCCTCTCTTCGGGAGCGTGCCGCCGTCCATCATGGCTGAACAACATGCCGCGCTCAGGCTTCATGTGGAAAAGCGTCGTGCTGAGACATTGCTCGGAATTTCTTAAGTGAAACCACGTTGGCATGTGTGACTTGTGCAGTCCAAAATGCTTTTGCAAGGCCAGAAGGTTTGGGCATTGTCGTGCAGAACGCCCCCAAGGCTGCCGGCTTTGCAGCATGCTCACTGTACGACAACGCCACGCAGTCGCTCAATGGATGATCAAGCAGGTGTACACCATGACGGAAAAACGGCACATTCGCCAGGCAGGCCTGTAAAAGGAATGAGCCATACTGTACCTGCTAGCAGCTAGCCACAAACAATCAAGCTGTGACTGCTTCGGGTCCTGCTCCAGGTAGAATCCAAACTCGAAATCCAGGCGGGCTAATGGTACATAAAGTGCTGTGCAGTGAGGCTCGTAGTAAGGCTTGCGGCTAGTAACGTCACTAGCTGCTAGCTGGAACGCGGCCGAGGACAAACCCTGGGGCAAGAGGCCTGCTCAGTTATGGCTCAATCTTGAATTTCATGAGCAGTTCATAAAAGCTCCGCCGAGTCGCAGGACTGTTTACAGACAAAATGGGCTACGAGCAGTAGATCAGCCAGTGCTGCCCTCAGTCCCAGGTTGTCTTTGGGAGAGGTGTGCTGAGGCATCCATGTACGCACTTGCAATCTCATAAGCTGCAGGCTCTCGAAATAGATGTCACTACAGAAATGGCACGCAAGGCCTGAGCTTGATAGGCATGCTTGTGACATGTCAGTGGCTTGTGTTTGTGTGCGCGGCACTCCCAGGCGCGGGTCGGTGACCTGCTGGGCAGGCGGAACTGTATCGACTGCAGGGCAGGAGGTGGCACCAACAAACTGCAGAAATAAACGGCCATTTCGCGATCTCGATGCGTCAGGTGACAAGTGTTATCGCTTCCCAGAATACGCCCCCAGTTTCTACAAGGCCCTGCCATGATAGGGGGTCCACTAAAAAGGAAGGGGGAGTACGGGAGTACTCGAATGCAGATGCCTCAAGATCTTTTCAACATCAAGAGGATGGGGAGAACATGGCAAGTTCTTTTCAAGTTCTTGATTGATTTCGGACCTTCTCCCCCCCTCCGCGTTCTTTTGTTATCATTTTGGTTTTACCCACAGCTGTCGCGACTGTATCGCTGACCGCCAGATTCGGTAATCACTCACTCCAGAATGTTCTATTGATGGGCTTGTTTTTCAATTCAATTAAGCCTTTTGGTGGTCCATGGTTCCAGGCAACACAGGAATTGCCTAAGTCCTGCCAAGCTCAGGAAAATGGAAATTCAGAGCATGAACAAATTCCTGCTCACAAGCCCAAAGCCACCAGAATTGCAAAAACACGCGAAGCACACTAACCGATACGCCGACAGTGTCAAGAAATCCTGCAAAATCGCCGCAAACCCTACGTCACAAATACTAATAGCTACCAAGCTGAATGAACATATATCTACAGCAGAATTTTTGTCTTTTCCCCTAGCCCTGCCTGGTAGCATGTGATCATATGTAGGTTGCAAAGCCAAAGGGGCCCGGCTGGCTCACGCAGTTTGGCAGTATTCCCATAGGACATCTTTGGCAGGACTACTGTGCGATGACCACTGCATTAGACCAAAAATGCAAAACGCATATCGAAATTACCCAGGCACACCAGAAAACCTTGAGATGTATAGGAACAACTGCCAGAAATTGCTGAGTATACAGTAGGCGGACCCCTGCCCTGCAATAGCGGTTTAATCCTGATATATGAGAGGACCTTAAAATAGTCGAAATTATCCCTTATAGTCACTATAATTGGGTGAAGGGTCCATGTAAAGCATACAGTGTAAGGATTTCAAGGTTCAGGTTGTGGGATGGAGGGTACAGAAGACGCGGCCAAAAGAAGTCCAAATGCCTTGATGGATGGCTTGAAGTAAGAACCTCTAGCTGGACATGAGCACGTCTGCAGAATTTGCAGTAATGGTAGCAAGTACGAACACTCGTGTAAAGCCTTACCAAAACTCCTTTCCGTAAGGTGACCGACTTCATCTAAGGGTTTGCCAAGCCTTTGGGGAGGGGAGGCTCAGCCTACAGGACCTCTCGAGAAATCCTGGCAAAGCTGATTCTTTAGGGTGGGGGGGGGATTGACGTGAAACAGCCCATTTTTTGGGCACCCGCTATGTGGATTCCGTTTTTACAAGTACTTGAGAGGGCCCTCCACCCCCCTCCGCCCTAACAGACCCCCATCTACCCCATCTCAGATGTGAGAGTTGATCTAAAATCTAAAGGCCCGTGGAGGAAAATCTATATTTGGATAGACCACCAGCTTAGCAAGACATGCCTTCGTGAAAGTTTCGCGATGGCACCGCGAAAAGAAGGTTATTTTGCACAAGTTCTTGCGTAATCCAACTTGCATACATGGGTAGACGCTCAGTTCTGCTAGGCTGTAGCTCTGAAGGCTATGTTTCACAAATCGTTTGGAAGAAGGGCATTGTTTCTGAGACCTGTTGTGCTTCAATCCCATCCTTCTCTCTTAGATTGCTAGAATCCTGGAAGTTTATCCGCGCCAGAGACTCTTCGGGCTCTAAGCCTAGAAAGCATGGCGCTAATCCAGACGGGCAAGGTAAGTTTACGCGAAAGTTCCGTGTAAGTTCCGCGTAAGTAGAGGTCACAATCAGTGGGCAAGAGCTCGCAGTGGATATGTGCTACTGTATGTGCGTACCATAGCTGGGATAGTGAGCCCGATAGGGTTCTTCTCACCCACCCGCTCTGGGCCTGAACATGTGAGTTGGGATCAAACCTGGGCAGCCTTCCCGGCCTCCGAGCTCGCACTTGGCCATGTAACCGTTTCAACTGCGTGTTCATTTCACGCTTGTGCTGGGAAGTCCTATGGGGGCCGTGAGATTTAGTGCAGCTCTATTGTGTTGTCTTATTCAAAAGCTAATACCCCTCCTGCCAAAAATCGGGTTAAATGGATTCCTGCACGCTTTCGCTTTCTTTGTAACTTGTGAAGAGGCAGGGCTCAACACTATGAATTCCAACTTGAAGAGTTGCTCCCCAACAATCTGCATTATAAACACGACACCTTTCTTGATCATGCACTTCGAGTCGAGAGTCAGACGGACGGCAGTGCAGGCTGGGGGCTTGATCGCTGGCAGCACCTTCCATCGCGGAATGTACAAGAAGACTCAGCCGCTGCGTGCTTGGAGCAGTGCCTCACAGTCAGGGCATCTTTGACCCCAGCTGTTGGATGCGTTGTTCCTTCAAGGCGAAACAGCAGCAGTGTCGTCGTCATCGTTGACTCGACAGGCCCTGTCATGTACTGCAGTGAGCACTTGCTCGACACAGTGGCAGCATCGTGCCAGCTGTTGAGCATTCACACGTCAGCGGTCAAACTTTTTGTCCAGGCTCCAGAACACCGACCAAATCGTACCAAGACAAGCAGGTCGAGCGTGAGGTCCGACAGCTCACGCCGCAACTTGCTCTGCGTGCTTCGAATTTTCACTGACAAGTGCTCTTTTTGTTCATCTGCGTAGGTCGAAGAAGCACAGGCAGAAGTGGTGGCTTTGACGCAGTCCTGGGAAAATCAGACCTTGAAGGCTCCAACCAAAAAGCATATGCAAAAGCCATGCCACTGTGCGTCAGGACTGTGTTGCCTCATACCGGGAGCCATTGGATTCCGACGTCGTGGGCCCAGTCATTGTGCAGAGGTTGTTTCAATCCTTGCATTACTTGCATTGCTTCAGGAAGAAGATGCAGCCAAGAATGAGGACTCTCCAGCGAAAGAAGACGCTGCAAAGAAGGCAGAGGGCGGAAAGAAGGGAAGTGCGGGAAAGAAGGCCAGGACGGCACCTAGCGTATCGCAAGCGCACTTGGAAGCGGCATAGCCTGCGAGGCCAAGTGATGAAGGCACTCGACCTTCCGCAGCGAGAAGCTGCATGATTTCAGGTGTGTGGGGCTTGAGGGTTGCTTGGAAGACATTATGGAGCCAGTTCGACCCCGCTGCAGGCCAAGCGTTGCGCAGGCTAAAAGATGGCCTTCGAGCGACGCTTGGCAGAGGGGCGGAGCCTGGCAGGGCTGAAGACCAGCTCGTGCAGACTGCCTGGAGAGGGGAGACGCGGTTCCCATTTCTGGCGTCTCCAGGCTCAACAAGTGTTTCCGGTTTACGAGTTTAGGCCGAGAGCGCTAGGTCATGGCTTCAACGTCAGGGAGCAGACTGGTTTGTGAATTTTGCCTTGCCACTGTGGCCCTGGTTCAAGCTACACAGTTGCCAACCATGAGGCCAACCCGCAAAGACTCAGAGTATACCCCTTTCCCCTGACTCGACTGAGAACATGTTCCCTGTACAGCGTGTGCTCCTTGCCCTGGGAGCTGCTCTGCAAGCTCGTGCAGACTGGGCGACGGGCCCTTAGTGGTTTCTCAGAGGCCTACAATTCTTCGGTTCTGCTTGCACCCACAAAGGGCAACGACGGTCACGAACCGATCGGCGGGGGAGATTTTGGAGACCGCCGTGAAGTCAGATGGACCAGTTAAGACAGAGCTGTTGTGGGAGTGTTGCTGTTGTGGGTGGACATGTCGCCAGGAAGCGCCTTGAGGCAGATTCGCACACCATCGAGCATTTTCACATGGAAGATATTCATTCGTTTTACTGGTGGGACTCAAAGCTCGAGGTGGGAAATGAGCGCTGTCTATCAATGCCAGCTGCTGCTCACCTGGATGCCTGCAGCATTAATTTGCAGGAAGAGCAAGAGGTCCGCGCAACCATAGATTCAGAGGCTCGATTCCGCGCGACTCCAACTTGGGTAGATCCCATGATCCTTACCAGGTCCCTTTCGCAGTGCTGATGGAAGCAATTGCGGCGGAGCATCCGTACGACTTGCCCATGATCGTGTCGAGCGCGTTGCCACCCGAGGGTGAGGCGCAAGATGTGTTTCATTTGTAGTGCGGCTGAATTTGAGTAGGCTGACTTTGCATGTTTCCTGGATGGCCATGTTTGGAGGAAACACCTGCCGATGCTACTAGTGAGCCAAAGTACGTCATGGGCGTGGCGCTCGTCAATGGGACGACCGCAGACGTGGCACAGGGACTCGCAAAGTCAATTGTCGAGGCTGGGGCTGGATCTCCATTACATCGGCGAATTGGCAAGAACATGTCTTGCGGCCAGGTTAAATACGCCGCTTGTGCGCAAGCATGCCGCCCAGTCTAACAAGGCTCCGAAAACCTGCAGCCAAATTTCTGGATTTTGAAAGGTAGAGAAGCACGGCAACTCAGAGACCGATTTTTACATTACGCTGAAGACGCTCAGTGCTGGCAAGGCACGGTCACGCCTGATCGAGACGGGTAGGACGGACCCATGCAATTTCAGGAACAAGTTGTGGTGGATTTTGGTGGCTTGGAGTTTGAGTGGATGCCCATCCGGGCCAATGAGAAGTACGAGAAATGGCTTGAAGACAATGTTGTAATTCGGCAGCATGCCCGTGGCTCAGCATTTCAGACTTCTGGGAGTCGCAAATCTAACTTGCATGCAAGCCTGCTCCGATGCGGGCCAAAGAGCTGCCCCAGCTCCAGCCAAGGCAGCAGAACTCTAGACTGAGCTTGAACGCGGGCTCAGTATGCATAGTGAATTGGTCTGGCACAAGATCCACACACCCTTACCCAGCGCTTCTGTGCTGATCAAATTCCAGCGCATATTGCTGTATCGGAAGTGCCTGCTCAATTGCTAGCCCTGCACCTTTTTGTAGAGGTTGTTTGGGTGTGCCACGCATGTCATATGCTGTTGCATCATGCAGTTAGCTCAAGGAGCAGTCCGCAGGTCTTGCGATGAAACCGCAGCATAACCACCACACATCACCCCCCGTGCTTTTCTGTTGAAGTATTTTCTTTACTTGGGGGCTAAAGAAACCTTGGTCGAGTACTGTTTCTGCAGCAGTGATTGGATCACGGGCGTAATGTGGTCCACAGACACCGAAGTTCTGAGGGTGGCCAGCAGGCCGTGGACATTCAGGCGCTAGTTGGTTCAGAGTCGTCCAGGCCTACTGTCTTTACAAGGGAATGTGATAGCGCAGTTTCAGCCATGTCTTCGACAACTGCAGAGCTAGAAGCAAAGCTGCGCCAGCGCATGCAGTGAGGAGCTTACAAAGACGTTTTGACCACTGAAGTATGAGTATCTTGGTGCTGCAGACGTTTGTCGCTTATGCAAAAGTCTTGCTGCACAGCCAGAACTTGCGAGACATGTCAAACTGGAGGAAATGCGAGGGCAGCAATGCCATGTCACCAAAGCGTGGACATCGAGTTTGGTCGGATGAGATGGCCAAGGCACAGCAACACCACTGCAATACCCCAAACAGTCGTGTCCCAGTGTGCTGCGAGCGGAGTTCACGGCACATGCTGACTGCAGACCGTCTCTCAGCAACGGCGGGCGCGGATGCCAGGATCTGCAAAGGGTCAAGGCCAAAATGCACAGCCATTTTTCAGCAACACGTTGTGCTGACTGAGCCCAATATTCAGTTGCCGCAGGAGGAAATCCTCAGGACGTGGAGGGCATCGACACACTGCCTCGCAGCGTTTCTTCTTCCTCAGCTTCAAGCAACAGGTGGGGAACGCAGTGCAGGGAGGTGTCGTGGCATGGCATCATGCAGCGAGGCGGTCCCGCGCGAAAGGCGGACAACAGAGAGGTGCACCTGAAGGCGATGAAGAGATGTTGGGTTTGTGCTGAAGTTCAAGCATTGGCTACAAGCAATCAGCAAGGTGAGCAAAGCGGAACAATCTCCAAAAAGCCAGCGGCCTTTGCCGCCATCACTGTTCTGCTTGCAGGGAGCCTGGGTGCGAAAGCATTGGCAAACTTGCAGGGATTTCTGGTGCCTAGGCCTGCACATGGCTTCTTTATGGAAGCTTCAGAGGCAGCCAGATCGATGACTGGCACAGAAGCGCGGAACTTCAAGACGGATCCAGTCCTGTGGAAGTTCCGGGAAGTGGCCGGCAAAGCCCCGAGCCTTTACTTGAGGACTGTGGTGGCTGTGCAGCACATGCTGTGGATCAGTGAAAGCTTTGTTTGGCCCTGCTGTTGTCGGTCACATGTCGTTCTCTGAAGGAAGACGAACGGACTGCAGGAAATGCAGATGAAGTCATGGCCAAGCCTGCTGAAGGATGTTACCAGTCTGCCTCTGTGAGAAGTGGAGTCAACGGTTGCGCCTTGCTGCGGTGTGGAGCAGGCTTTCCAGTGATTGAAGCCGCTCATGCTGGTACGGGGAGAGAAGAGGGAGCCGAAGGCCGCGTAGCGATTTGTGGGAAGATGTGTAAACACATGATTTGAACTGGATACACTGGATATTTTCCCAAGCACGCTGCAGCACGCTGATAATACTTCCACTGCACCAGGGACAACCTCGTTGCAGGTCTCGTCCGTGGGGAGGCTCCAACGCAAGCCGAATGCCCAGTCAGCTACTCGTAGGCTGAACTTCAGGGGATGACATGCAAAGCTATGTGGCACGAGCGGGCGTGGTAACGAGCAAAAAGACTGCCGCTAAAGAGATATGCCAACCCAGCATAGCTCCTGGCGCTTGAGCAAGTCCCGGAGCTAATTCCAGAGGATACAGTAGGTCGAGAGAGAGATGCCAACCACACTGAAGCTTTCTTACAAGGTGTCTGCGCAGTTAACCCAGTGATGTGAAAAAAACAACACCTGGAAGGCAAGCCCTCAAGCCAGACAACACCCCAAACACTTCCTATATATTACCTCTTTACTGTTTAGGACCTCAGAAGTCAACTGAGTAGGCAAAGGAAAAGGGGAAAGCCTGGCAAGGACGTAGTCAAGTGAAGTCAAGCTGAGGAAACTGTCTGTCAGGGTCCAAGCCACTGGATGAGGGGGCTAAGCACAGTACACAAGCTGTTTTGCGCAGTTACCCCCACCAATGATGTGGCCAATCATATGTACCAGGTCTAGGCTCCATGGTTCATGTTAGCTAATCCTGACAGAAAAGCCCAAAGCAACCTGCGGCAAGCAAACGCCTTGCAAGCACAGTTTAAAGTGGGAAGGCAACCTCAAAACATTTGCTAGGTCCCCTAAGTGCTACCTGATTGTATGAAGAAAGGCAACGCCCCCACTATGAAACCGAGAGGGGTGTAAAACCACACAGCCCAACACGGGCTGGGCATCGAAGCCCGGGGGCAGGCGCAATCCTGCTCCCATAGCCCGACCGAAAGAAAGAAAGAAAGGCCAACCAAGCCACCCTAAATAACAATGGGGAGTAACTAGGTATCCTCCACAGGCTGTTTTTCACAGTTATCCCAAAAAATGATGCGGTGGCAAACACAGTAATCCGTCACAAGCTGTTTTTCACAGTTAAACAATGCGGTGGCGATTCTGATGGCAAAGGCAACACGTGCACCACAGCCCAGCATCCCTGCCAAACCCTGCCCACTTTGCTAATTCAATGCGTTTTCGTTCCCTTAACCCTTACCCCAAGCTGGCTGTGACAATGGGCGAAACCTGGCTGTGGATGGGTACCCCAAATATGTGAGTTTAGGTTCAACTGTGTAACCCATTCGCGAAACTATGAGGGGTGGACAAACATAACAGCCCAACACGGGCTGGGCAATGACGCCCGGAGGGGGACCCGGGTCCTCCTCCATAGCCCGAATGAAAGAAAGAAAGAGAGAGAGAGAGATAGAGAGAGCATAGCCATTTTGGCCCAAGAGAGAATCAAGCCCTCTTGCACTCTCGGTGAGCCCAGTCAGGTAGTCCTCCTCCCTTCTCCTGTGCAAGAGAGGACTGTGAGCATAAAGCTCCTGCATACATTGCTCTGGCCAGTGAAAGCCAGTCCCAACAAGGGCAAGTTAGCATCACTACGCGACTTCCCCTTCAACATTGTGGCCACCATCAAGTACCTGATCGCTCCCGTACGGTGTCGGTTGCTGCACAGCCAACAGGCCCGCACCATCGATGCCAATAGAACTGGACACAGACAGCTCAGGAACCAAGAGGCATTGAATTGCCCAAGTCCCAACTTGGCACAACAGGAGGAACGCCACTCACCGTGGAGATGCTCCAAAGTGCAATACAGCCTCTGATAGCCAAGGTGGGTATAGTGGAGACAAGAATTGCACAGGTGGAAACAGCATTCACGGACAGGATGAAGGAGCAGGTAAACCTCCTCACAGCTATCACAAACACGCAGTCCCAGCACTCCACAGACCTTGCCAACTTGCAAAACAAGGACAAGGCAAACCAAGAAGCCTTCCAGGACATCAGACAGAGACGGGAAAATCTGGAAACACAAGCCACCTCATTAAGAGCCAACTTCACCACTGCAGAGAAAATGCAGCCAGATTTGATTATGGGAGGATGGGCTGATGACCAGGAAGCAGCTACCACCATGCACTTGGCAACAGAAGCATGCAACAATCTTCATTTGGACATTGACATGCAAGAAGCCTTCGTTCCTGGCCTTCGTCGTGGTTACTTGGTCACTTGGTCATCCCATACAAGCCCAAAGTCAGTGAGAATGAGAGTGCCATGTTTTCCAGATTCACCCAGGCAATCCAGCAAGTCAAGCAAGCCAACCAAGCCACAGGGGCCATAGGGCCCAATGGCCAGCCAAAAAACATTTGGTTGAGCTTCTCCCAAACACCAGAAAGGCGACGGAGGGCGGGTCCCCAAATCATTGTGGAGTAGAGGGGTGTAGTCCAGAGAGGCCCAATACGGGCTGGGTTGGAGCCCGGGATGGCCTTCTTGGTCATCCCATAGCCCAAATCAAAGAAAGACAGCTGTTTGGGCCCCGGCCCTCTCCTTAGCGGGAGGGTAGGGCAGGGAGAAGAAAAAGGACAAAAAGAAGAAGAGAGAGCAAGAGATTTTGGCTCAAGTCATCTGCCGTGCTCCCCCTTTTGGGGGCGTGCTGCCAGGCACGGCTCCTTCGGGGGGGTGGGGGTCTTCCCTGCCCTCCTGCGGAGTGGACGCTGCTGTGGCAGGAGGTGGCTTGAGGCCACATGTGAAGCCGTTTGACAGTCAAACCGCTGATCCCTCTGTTTCCTCAGATGAAGAGAAACTGTGGAACGTTACCGCTTGGGTTATGCTCGATCCTTAGGAGGTAAGACCTACCCTGAAGGTGCGTACCTTTGTCGAAGTGGTCAAAGTCAAAGGAAACATAGGAACCCTCCACTGAGGAAAGGGAAAAGGCGGAAGTACGCACAGCATTTAGATACCTCCAAAACTTTGCTGTTGGGAGCCCCGTGTGGTCTTGGAATTAGGGAGTCAGACAATGCTTGCTGAGGGGACCATGTTACTGGTAGTGTCGTTTCGCCTATTGGGATTATGGTTGGTTCGGAGTGCAAGTGTAGGTGAGGAATTTGGGGGACACAACCAGGGAAAGGGATACAGCCATGGCCGACTGTCGCACATCGCCCGAGGGATCACGGACATAGACAACACAGTTGGATGCAAGCCATACTATGACCCAACCAATGCAGACTGTTACCATTTTGGGCGCCGAGCGC